CAAAATCCCCAGAACCTTAATGACCGATATGCGCTTTGACATCCTCGTTGATCCTCAATATTCAACTTGATCACAAGTTCATTTTAAAATGTATTGAGTGAATAAAAAAAGAACCAGTAAAGGAACAAGAAGAAGCTTTACTTATGAGTCCATAGAAATTTCTTCCTCTTCTTCAATTCATTCGATTTTTCTATCGATCTAGAAATTGTTCTATTGAAAAGTCATAAAGTAAGTGAAAAAGGGAGAAGGCAAAGCGCACATATACATGTGGACATATGTTCATGTATAAAGTTCAGAATGTTATTTGCTTGATATTCTTTAAACCAGTTTCTCTCTCTCTCTCTCTCGCTCTGCTCGCACAAAATGCGATTTTTTTCTGCGCTATGTGATCTTTAAGTTGCTTTCCTAAAAAGAAGTGCTGCAAAAATAATACATTTGTGTGTGTGTATGTGTGTGAACTTTTATTCTCTTTCTTTCTCTTTCATCGGCATCGAAATGAAAAAAAAAAATATTCCACAATACGAAAAAAATATTAAAATTTTTTTATTTGAAAGTCAAGATATTCAGCAAATGAAAATGTAAGAACGTGTTCATGTTCAATTTCTTTATATTATTTTTCTTCTCTTCTCCTCTTATAAGGCACATATATTCTCTGCACATTGTCGACTTGTGTATATACAAAACATTATTTCTCTTCCGATTTTCTTTTCTGACTTCAGTCGTCGTTCTGTTCTACTACAATACTGTTGTGTGTACTATCTAGTAGGCATCTTGCCGCTTACTACTGTCGGAGCCGCTATAAAAAATCTTTTGTTTTTGTTATTTTTTTTTTGTGGTTTTAAGAATTTTTTTTTCAAAAGATTTTTTATATTGAATTGTGGTTATCAGATTGAAGAGATACAGACAGTAAAGTGAAATAATCATTTGTTTTTATGTATTTTTATGCATTGTGTCTTTAAAGAAACGAAAAGAGAGAGGAAAAAAAAGTTTACAGTCTGTGCAAATATTTATTAATAATAGAAATTCTATGTGAAGTGAAATGAAAGTTGAAATATATTCAATTCGGATGAAATGACAAGAAGATGTAATGTTACTTTTTCATATTATTATTATTATTCTGACTGATTTTTTTGATGCATGATTGAATCTTAAGAATTTTTTTTTCTTCTCAAGCACGATCTTCTTCTTAATCCCCTCATCGTGTTCATAGTGAAATTTGATTTGTGTGAGAAATGTATAGGAAAATAATATTGAAATTAATTGCAAGGTTGCCATAACTGTTATTCAACTGTTTTGGTGTCATATTTTTTCTTCTCTTTGTTTAGGCTTCACAACACAATTTTTCAGCATCTTTATTGCATTTACAATGTATGAAAAAAATAAATCTTGATTTATGAAACTGCTTGCCATAATTATTGCATTGAAGAACATAATTTATTGTATTTTTTGAAAGATCTGCTACCATTACCGCTACTCTTATTCTTATAAAACATTCCAATTCTCTAGTTTTATTTTTAATACAAACAATTTAAGACTCCAAGTGATTAAACTTTTAAGTGCACAAGATGCTTAGAGAGAGAGAGAGAAAATATTCTACAAATATGCTAAAAATATCATTCAGTTCACTTCAAAAGAGCTGTTATGCGCGTCCGGAAGCGACTGCGTCTGGATGGAAATACTTCTACATTTTTTAACCACGTTTTCTGTCTAGATGATTTTTGCCATTTGCGGTTTGTCTTTTAGTGATGATGGTTCTTAGAATTTTAACATAATAATGATTAGGTCGGCTTTATTTAAGGCATCTGTACATATCCTAATAGAGTTCTATTCCAAAAAAATGTTTTCACTGAACTTTTTCAATTAGATGTTGAATTGTAATTGATTATAAGGTATCCAAGCCATACTGTAGCGAATTTACCTATAAATCTAGCCATATCTCCAAGGATTGTTCAGATTCTACAATAAATATGTAGAGTTCTATTAATATGAAATGAGCTCGATCCATCATCACGGAATTAATAGTTAAATTGCAAGATCAAGTAAAAACTAATTTGAAACCACTTCAATGCATCAAAATCAATAAACAAAAATTGATGTTATTGCATTTTATTGAAAGATTCCTCATTAATGCAATATTAATTGTTTTAAAAATAACGAAAAGTTGCAGCGTTGAAAGATATTATCCGCATTAAGGAAAAATTATAAACATCTTACAGATCACTGAACGCTCATTCCAACCCATTTATTTATAGCTATATATTACTTATCGTCTCTCTTAATTATTAAACCTTGAAATATTTTTCATGCTATGGGACTCAATGTGTGTTATGCAACACGTCCATTTTCATTCCATGCTGATAAGGAAACGAAATAACAGCAAAAATTCGCTCATTTACTTTAAAAACATTTTTATGCATACTTAAAAGACCATGAAAATAATTTTTTTCTATAGTTTTAAGATTTTTCCGCAAATATATAATTTTTTTATCGCAAAAAAAAAATTCTTCTCGAGACTCTTGTAAATATAATTTGTTCTCCTTTTGAATGTTAATTGCATAATAAATTTTTCCACTTCAATCTTAATCGACTGTTCCGTGGACAGCATATTACAGTCAGCTAAATGTGTACCTTAATGCTCGTAAATTTTTTAAAAGTCACGTTATCACAAGAATTAAAAAATTTATTTCATCAATGACTGGCAAGGAATGAAAAAAACAAACATCCTGAATGCATTTAAATCTTTCAGCTCTAAAGTAATGTGTCTGAGTTGTGTCTCAATAACATTAATTGATTTTCCAATTTCGAAATTATCTTTATTTTTATTTTTTTGCTTCTCTTGTACATGATCAAAAACAGAAAGTTTCACTTCAATAGTAAGAAAGAGTCTTTCTCAGTCAGAGTACGGCACTTCCTTCTTCTTTGCATCTCGACTTTCTTATTCTTTTGAGTCTCATGTTTCAACAATAATATAAGTAAGTGCCGCATCCTTGACAACATCAACCAGAAATACAAAAAATAATGTAATTTAAATAAAAAACTGTTTCATTTTTTTATCCGAGTTTTTTGGAGGAAATGGTATGGAATATTTTTGTGTTGATTGTCTGTCGATGACCTTGGGAGTCGTAAAAAAATTCCGTATGTTCAACTTTTCTGATATAGGTGGAGTTCTAAGCCAATGGGATGCTCCAGACAATTTTATCGCTCAAGTTTTTTGACAGATGATCTCATTAGTGACCTTCTTCTTTCAAGCTACTCCTTAAAAGCTCCTAATTATGATTTATTTTGAAAACAGGGGTAAGGCTCGATATAATTGTGAAGATAATCATGTGATTCCAATTTCATTAAAAAAGCGCTTCATTTCCTGAAATCCAAAAAAAAGTCAATCCGTCTCAGTTCCTTCTTCTTTATTCTCTGTGAGGAACAAGAAAATTTATGTTGCACTGATCATGTTACAGTTTCTTTTTGAATAATAAACAATAATAATGCAAAAAAAAACGACTACAGAGTTCGAGACATTTTATTTCATTTCATTCATCTCCAGTGAGCGAGAGGTACCCCGCAATTCATAAACACGGAGTTGCATGGAGAAATAAATGTAGTGTAAGGAAATTTTATGTGAGCGATTTTGTGCGATTTTTGTGTGACGATGAAGTAAAAAATAAAAAAAAAGGAAAACGAAACAGTTGTGCCATTAAAAAAAGTTTTTAATAAGAAGTTAAGCGTATTAAAAATCAAAGTGTAAGAGAGATAGTACCAGAGCAAAAGAAATTCCATTTTCTTCTTCGCTTTATAGTTTTATTTTTCTCTTCAGACTGTACGGAATTAACTGTAAAAATGTTTAAAAGAAAAATTGTTTTATTTTTCATCCATGTGGCCCTTGTTAGCAATATCAATTATTGATATACATTCATACATGCATACGATATTCGTTTCATGGAGATTTCTGATTTTTTTTTTATTTATAGACCACGGAAGGGTTGAGGTACAATAAATATCAATTCGCAATAAAATGAGAAACTCGCAATGAATATTAATTGATATTCTTTTTTCATTGTATGAAATGATACACGGATATGGGTCGACTTTGTAGTAAATTGTCATAAATTAAAATGCCTGCAAATCTGACTTGTTTTGATCGCATTTAAGAATACCGTGATTGATAAACATCCGTCAATATTACTTCTGATGATATGAATACGAATTGATATAAATTTGATTGCATTTTTTAATTTTATGAAATGACAACAGTTTTATTGAGGGCTGTTAAACTGTTGTCTGAGACTGCTTTTTGACAGAATCCATAAATTTATATTTAAAAGTTATAGTCTAGTGTCTGAGCGATTATTTTGATGAGTCTACGGTATGAAAGTTGCCGGTTTAAAGTTTATTTGAGGGATTTAGCGCATTTCAGATGATTTATGTCTTTAGCTTCTGTTCGAATGATGCCTTATTTTTAAAAATATTAATTTAAATTTTTGACGACGACGTGCGGATTGAGTTATAGCTTAATTTTAAAACTAAACTCGCAAATCATGTAAATCATGAGTTTTCAAGTGAATACAAAGTTAACCGCTCCAATAAAAATAAGGACTCATTGTTCTGGATCATAAAAGCACTGCATGATAATTTAGACTAATAACTTTCAATCAACTCGATCATAAAAACTTCATTAACGGCAAAAAAACACAATTTATTTCCAATTTTTTAAACTGCAAAACATCGTTGAGACGCAAAATGTTCTCAAGTCACATTGACCTTTGCAGATCTAATGGCATTTATATGTTTTGATAAACAAAAAAGAATTTCAAGTCTAACTTGTCACGTTCTTCGTGACATCACACGGCAAATAAGTTAAACTATTTCAACCCATTCTCGTTCATATATTTTTCTATATCAAAAACAGTCATTATTGTTTCATGTTGAACTTATAACTTTGTTTGCAAATGTCTTGACGTAATACTTATTTACACATTTTTTGAAATTATTTTCTTCTCATTTAGATATGAAAACAGAGACGACTAAGGCAACAAATTCTCAATTATCGTCATCATTTGAAGAAAATATCACACCAGAGGACGCAAAAATGGAGCAAAAGCAGTTGTCGTTTGATCAAAAAATTGACACTGCGAAAACAGTTGATAATATAAGTTCGTTACAAGCAGATGGAAGTGAAGCTGCCATGAACAGAACATCAGTAAATTTGAATATTAATTCATATAAATTGTGAGTAGTAATTTATTGTATTTTATGCTTTAAATAGTGTGGTTTGTGATTTTATTGAATTTCCTTGAAGATTTTTGGATAAAAAAAAATTTTGAATTTTTCTCATTTTTCTTGAAAACTTCGAGAAAGTTGCAGCACGTACCTCAACAAATTTTTAATAGCTCCCATCTGAGTCAATAATATTTTTTTTCTCTTCCCTTTAGTGAAAATAACGAGTCAAATAAATTCTCATCGATAGCATCACCAGCCACGCCAACAATAACAAAAGCGACAGCGATAGTTGCACCACAACGTAAAACACACAATTTTGAAGAAATAACAAACTTTGTTGATACAAAACCACCATTTAAATCAGCCACATTGGGACGACAACGTCCTCAATTAAATTGGAGAAATAAAGACGAAAAATCGGAGAAGAGTGTAAAGGATAAAATTGCCATGTTTTCAAATTCAACGTCTGACATAACACATATTTTGCCCAAAACAGCACCGACTATGTCAACATTTAGAGATAAATCGTCATCGCTTCGAGGTTCCAACATTACAAAAAGTACTGAGAATATATTCAGTAGTTCCTTTGCAGACGAATTGTATAGTCCAAGAATAAAGAGTAATATTTCAAATCACATTAATAGCAACATTAAGAAGAAGGCAATGAGTGTGGAGAATCTCGATGACTATGACGATGACGTTGTGCTGCGTGACAATAAGACAGATTATAATGGATTCATGAGCTACACACCTGTTAGTAAGCCAATTAGTCTTCTTTCTCCAGCATCACCACGACCGTCATTATTATTGAACATGAATCGTACATTAAGTGTTGAACATTTAAATAGTTCATATGATAGTCCAGCTCTTCCATCACGTCCACCACCGCCAATGACTGCACCAATTTCACTATCACGTCACATTAGTTTTAATGGTGGATTGTCAAATGAAGAAGTAAGGCAGAAGTCAATTGCAAATATGATTGAGAATCGTAAGAAGAGCATGTCAAAACTTCGTGGCTTAGTCATACCCGAAAAAGTTCCAGAAAGTGAACTTCAAGCTGATCAAAAAGTTTTTGGACTGCCTGTCATTAGAAGTAAAGAATGTGACTTAATCAATAGCAGTCCAATAATTATTAGCAAGTCTGCAACACCATCACCAAAATTACCAACTCGAAAGACGTTTAATGAACGACAAAAGAATTTTGAATATCCAACTTTGATTAAAGCGGCGCCAAGGAGAAGTCTCGACGATGATAGGAAAGTTGTTCCACCTGTTAAACCGCCAAGAACTTCGCTCATAATTTCCACTCAATCAAAATCATTTACGTCAAATGCAACAGATGATAGTGACACGGAATCGTGCTTAAGTTCAAGAATTTCAACACCGCCAATTTCGCCTGTGGCAAAAAAACCATTAATAAGAACGTTAAGTAACAATTCATCACTTAGTTCCAATTCAACATTGACATCTGGTTCAGGATCGCAAGCTAGTTGCTCGTCAAATGGTTCAGCATCTCCAGAAATACGCAAAAATTCATCAGAATCATCAGCAACACGTAGATCTATTGTTGCATCATCAAAAAGTCGAAGTGGTCGTGAATGCTTAGAAAAATCGTGGAGAGATGAAGACAGTACTGACGGTGGTATTGATCATGAAGAAAAACAACGTGTTCCAAAAGCAAAAGCTCGCAGTTCCTTAACAAACTACAAAGTTATAAATTCTAGTGATAATATTGTCGATAAGGTGATAAATGTTGCTACTTATGTTGAAGTCATGTCTTCCGATTCTGAAGATAATAAATTAGAACCTTCAGAATCTCAATCGAGTATTTCAACGCAAAGAACAATAACACAAGAAACAATAAGTAAATCAGAAGCACCAAACTTAATGTCTGATATGGCTAAATGGGTGCGTAAAGAAGCTTCAAAATCAACAGAAATTGTGAAAAAAATTGAAATGACAACTTTGACAACAACCACAACAACGACTAAAACTGAAGAAATTAGAAAAATTCCAAAGTCCCTAGAAACTCCCAAGAAGCTAAACTTGTCAGAAATTCGTAAAAATTTCGAGAACAAACAATTGTCTAATGGAAATGCTACAACACCATCGTCAATTGCATCACCGCGAACGCCATCAAAGGAGAAAACCACAACAAGTGCATTTAATCACAATAGATTCTCGTCATGGGACTCGGTTGCATCATCATCGTCTGGTGTGTCATCAGAGTTATTAGGAACTGGTACAGGCACAAACAATTCTGAGTCATTGCAAACAATCCAGTCAGATTTTGGAAGTTTCTCATCGTTTGGCAGCAGTCATAGTTTAATTACGCCGCAGGTAAATTTCTAATGTATAAGTTCCTTGATTGCATCTAAATATGAAAATTTCCATAGGATCTTCAATCAATAATTGATGAGGCTGATCCACCGCTTGAAACATCAGAAGCATTCGTTGTTGTCTTACATCGTGACTCGCCTGAATCAAGCATTGGAATTACTCTTGCCGGAGGCTCGGATTATGAAGCTAAAGAAATAACAGTAAGCTCATTAAAGTCAAGGTCATTGAACAGTTAATGTAATTAAATAAAATTCCTTATTAGATCCATCGAATACTTATAAATTCACCAGCCGATAAGGATGGCAGATTAAAGCGAGGTGATCGAATTTTATCAATTAATGGATTAAGTATGAGGGGATTAACACACCGGGAGTCATTGAGTGTGTTGAAGGTAAACTGACGGATTATTTGAATGTCTATTCATTAATTAATTACTCTATTAATCTTTTTAGTCACCACGTACAGATGTTGTAATGGTTATAACAAGGTCCAAGTCTGTCATTAAAACAAATTCATTAAAAAAGACAAAATTGGGATCACTTGGCTCATTAAGTTCGTTGAGTGAAAAGGCTGATAGCATTGATAGTGGCGTACGTCAAAAGCTTCATTCGTCAAGATCCGTTGATATGGATCTTGATGCTTTGTCAACTGAAGGTAAGCTTTAAAAATAATTATTAAAGTTTGTTGACTCGAATGTGAATTCTTCCACAGATTCCAAATACACAAATCGAAGTAAAGCTGAAACCAATGGCATGAAAAAAGAGGCGAGCTATCATTGTAAGTACAAAAATGTGTATCTGTTATTCAGAATTGAACTGCGTCAATTCATTGTGATATGATCAATATTTACCTTCCTTTCGAAATTATAACATCTCGTACGTCTTCAAAATATTTTCTAGCAAATGGTTTTGACATAGCGAATATTATAAAAGATGGAACTGGAATTGGAATTTCCTTAGATGGCGGCTATGATTCACCACAAGGCAACAAACCACTGATTGTTAAAAAAGTTTTTATGGGTGAGTATTTTTGAGTTCATGAAGTTCTGTGATTAATAAGATCAGAATGTTTGAAAATAATCACGTCTGTGTGCTTTTACTTTTTACTTGAACGAGTCTCTATTCGAAAAGGGTCATGAATGGACATTAACTCACATTTAAAAAAAACATATAAATTATTGAAATCAGGCAATGAGGATTAAATGCTTTGGATCAAGCCGAAATTGCTCATAAAATTTCATCATTTGATATGGAAAGAGATTAAAGTCATTTTGGGGTTTTCGGCATAAGTTTTTTAAAAACTGATAAGAGAGTAAATGCGAATGGAGTGTGATTTTTGGACTTATTGTCTTCAATATTTTATGTTTTTTTTTTGAGGATTATATCACCAAAAACTATCCATAGATAAATTTTTTTATCGAATTTATTTTTATTCGCTTAGATCATTGTTAGACTGTCAGCGTTAAAAATGTCGGCATACAATAATGTAGTGGAAGTAAAAAAAAATCCTATACTTTGAAAATATGTGCATAAAAATCTCTGTTGGTTTCTATTTAAAAAGCATATTGAATTACCGGAGCAATAAAAATTGAAAGAACAAGATTTGTGCTTAAAACGCTAATCAGATATTTTAGTAGCTAGTAGCAGTGTTGTTATTTGAGTATATTTTTGAGATAAAATTTTGGTCTTTGATGCTATCTTATCTAGTCTCTTAACGTCATCTGAACTTAATTGTGCATTTCATATATACCTGACCTAGACAATATTTATATGCTCTTTCCATGTCCTAAATTGATTTCTTGTCTTAAGAATATTAGAGGTTTTCTAGCAACGGGCACGTTACCAGGGGGGAATTTGGGGGACAAATCCCCCAACATAAACAGAAATTTCTTTATTTCGCTAGGGTTTTTATGAAAAAATCACAAAAATACCCCCCCCCCCCCCCACCCCTTTAAGTTTTTCCATACATAATATCTAAAAGCGTATTTAATAAATATCACTTCCTCATGAAAAAAAACAGTCCAGAAACCTCCTTAAGCTGAAGTATAGTCTTACAACATTGTTGCTAATTATATGATTTTGTAATTTTTTATAGGCGGTGCAGCAGAGAAGCTCTCAAATGTGAAATCAGGCGATGAAATCATTGAAATTAATGGAGTATCAACAGAGAAGCAATCACGCATAGATGTATGGAATATGATTAAGAAGCTACCGCAAGGCGATAATGTTCAAATGAAAATCAAAAGAAAATGAGCAGAGATATACGAATAAATGAGAATTGAAAATTCTTTGTGATATAAAATGAGAAAAAAAATAATTGAAAGAAAATGTGTCTTAGGTTATGAAATATTCATCTGATTATATATTTTTATACTGAGTCAATAATCTATTATATATATCTAGTTCTATTGAATGATGCATGGAAAAAATGTTTTTGATATATAGATGCTTGAATGTACTTATCTATTCATTATAAATGATAAGAGAAAAAAAAAATTAATATTTTGATACAAAAAAAGAATTATTTAACATGTCAATGCTTATCGTATGCTATACTAAAATATGATAATTGATATATAAAATATTTTTATATACATTTGATGTATGACTTACTAGATTACTACATAAGGTGCATTCTAGCGAATTTTTTTTATATTCAATCTTGCCTTAAAGGATTTCTTTAATGTTTTTTAGTTTTGTATGTTTCAATTTTTTTGATTTTAATAAGATGAGCTAGTTTTGGAATTACTGGTCAAGAAAACTAGGTTTGAGCGAGATCGTATCTGATGAACTCTGTTCAGCTCCTGCAAAGTCTTTAAACCTGGTGATTATTCCTTTCAAAGCCTTTTATATGAAGAATCAAGCAAGACTGGAACCAATTATGGAAATTCCGTTGATTCTTACAAAATTAGCTCACGTTTGATTTTAATTATTTTGATTATAATTGTTAGTGCAATTTACACAATTTTTTGAATTGATGATGAAAAAAAAGAAGAAGGAAAACTTAATAATGCATTTAATTAATTAATTCCATCAAAACAATAAAATAAATCGTTATTTAATGTGAAATGAAAGTATTCAAATTGAAATTCCTTTTAAAAATTAAGAAGAAGAAAAAAATGTGTTTTTGTATTTAAATTTCTTCCCATATAAATATAAAAATATTTTTTATATTGAACAAAAAAAGAATAAGCATCGCACGTGGTTTTATTATTCCATTAACTTCCACTTTCAGCACATCTCACCCTTCCAATATTGTTTACAATGATTTGTTTTGAAGATTTTACATTTGCCAGAAGAGGACAGCTTTATATCTACGTTGAGCATGCGCACCCTATTTCTAGTTCCAATGAAAATCGATTTTATCATTAACACGCAGGACATTTTCACTCTTCATTCTGTTCCTTATTATATTTCATGTAGAACAGTTGTTCGTTGGATTGATTGAAAAATATTAATTAAGTTAAAAGTGATTTAATGGACAACTTTTGATCAAAATGTATCGATATCGGATTAATTAAAGTGAATGTAACGTTGTGATAGTGAAATTTTTTCATAAAATCTGTAAGTAATGGACGAAAACTTAATTCCAAATTATTCTTTTGTGTCACAAGAAAGAAAAAAAAAATTCATGGCGAATTGAAAAAAAATCGTTGTTTTAAAAAATATGTAATGGTGTAAAAAAAAATTATGTGCTGATTACAGTGACTAGCAATCAAATGAGAATACAGTTTTCAAGCCATTCCGTGATTTGCTTTAAATGCGAAATGAAAATTTGAAAAAAAAATTCTATTGATTTTTGGATTTGATGAATCAGAAAATGATTGTAAAAGGTCAAGAAAACCTTAATGAATGAAGTTATATGTGTGCGAGTGTCTGGTGTAAGAAACTGCTTACTGATTAATTATTAGTAATTTGTTTGTAATCTTTCTGATTTCAGAAGGTTCAGAAAATTTGGAAAAAGTTTTTCTTTTAAATCTAATTTCGCATGCGTTCCACTCCAATAGATTTTCCTCTTTATCATCCAAAAAATTCTTGTTTTTCTTCCCAGCATTCATTTTTAATGAATTTACAAACAGAAATTCCTCCAATTTTCCCACAAAAATTCCGTCTATAACATCCATAATCATAAATATTTGAAGAATTCTCGTCTTTCTAGTTCCATCAACTTAAATGAATTAAGAAGATTACTGAGGACGATAGTCTTTGCCATTGTATTCAGGCTTAATCCGCTTTGTGCTTGAAAGCATTCAATTCTATTTCAACATGCGTGCATGTTTACTGAGTGACTTATAGGCTTATTTTCCACATTATGAGAACTTTCCTCGAGCTGTAAATGAAATGAATTTTCTGGCTGGAATCTGAAGTATTACATTTCGAATTTGTAGCTTCAAATGTAGTTTTCAGTATGGTATGCATAACTGCAATATGGAAAAGTTGCACAACACAAAGAGAAAAATCTGATTCCATAATATTTACATCTTTGTATGTGCAGGTTGTAATGCATTATTCATCCAAGGTATAATGGTCGATTTGAATATATGTAGCATACCCACAATCGATTCATTGCCGCTGCCATCCAATGTAGTCAATATTGCGAATACAACATACATTCTAGAAATAGCTCATTTCCAGGTATTATCGATTCATCGTTTATTTTAAATTTTTTCTGTTTAGTTAAGGAACAAACTTTACTTCCGTCAGCGGTTTTTAAACTAAAGTCATGAACAATTCAGAGATAAAATCTTCAGTGTGTCCCTGACATGAGCTTAGGTGCCAAAATATCCTTGAAGGAAATTGTCTTTGCTCACACCTTTGCCTTCTCTATGTTTATGACTTCTACATGCTCATTTAAATTTTTTATTCACACCAGATTGCCAATTTTCATAAAAAGGAGAAGAAAAACCATAAATTAAGTTATTTTAACAGTTGTTATCTACATCAGCATTAAGATTCAATTTATATTCTACGTTATTATACTTTATTATTATCAAGAACGGAGAAGTTAAAAATTTTCAAGAGAGCGAGTTGAATAATGAATTTTTATGCTCTATAAGTTTTACTCAAAATTCTCAGAACCTTGAATTCAAGGTATAAGTGAGCAGCAAAGTCTCTTTAATTTACTATTTTACCTTTTCCATGAAATAGTATGAAGCACAAGGAAAAATGAGGCAACATCGAAATCTGAAGCCATAAAAATATTGACGCAATAGACAATCTGATTTTTTCGCGATGACTAATCGATTGGGAAAACGAGAATGTGGAATGTAGGGGAAATGGGTGGCAATATTCAATATCGAGTTTGTCTGTTAAATTTCATTTCGATCGACTGGAGTGAGAGAAAAGCTTTCAAGCTCTTGAGAAGATTTTTTTTTGTGTCTGTAAAAAGATCGTAAGCTGATTTAACAATCATGAACGTAAATCTTATTATCTTCCTTGACTAAAGCTCTTTCTTCTGTGTAAATTGAATAATAAAGTGATTTCAGTGGCTGTAATTTTGAACGTAGGGAGCACATGATGCGAATGTACCCCAACCATGTTTTGTGTGATTTTTAGTGATCTTACTGTTACTAGTCCTTAGTTTGGAATAATCAAATCACGAGTTTCTAAAATGTTGATAACGTCTGTACAAAACATTCTGTTCACGGGATTCTCTATATCAAAAGATTGGGAAGGCAAAGACGTCAACAGCTGTTCACTATGGCTACTCAGTCATCCAATCCAACATTAACATTGCGAACATTTCAAAAAAAAATTAATTTAAAATTCTTGAAATGAAAAATTCTCCTTATTCATTGCATAAATTTCCTTCCTTCCCACGCACACAACATACAACAGAGACGGCAAAGCATAAGTCGTACAATAATAATATCCATATTATTGCATTTTTTAACCATTTTTCTTCTTTATTCCCGACATTTTTGCTGTTGATTTCTTGCCAAGATTACCAACTAAAATTCATCCATAAGGCAAGCAAAAAAGTTTTATATGAAATTTGTGAGTGGAAATGGAAACATGTAAACACATAAAAGCGAATATTTTATTGCTTAAAACTTTTCTTCTCTTGCTTGTGTGGCTAAATATGCAATAAAAGTGTTAGAATGAGAGAATATTGACGACAGACGTTCATAATGGATTGCATATAGATAATAAAAATGATCCATTAAAATTGATGAAATGTTTACATTGGAATCAACTTCCGGTCACTGTGTGGTGTCTACGGTAAGCAAGATGAATGAAGGGTCCATGTTTGTTTTCCCAAGTCAGTAAAAAGTTTACTCTCGAATTATTTATAGCTATAAAAGGTTGTATTCTGTTTAGAGATGAAGTAATTTAGGAAGATGTGGGTAGAAAATTGAGAATAGTTCCTTATATTCCGGAAAAATAACAGAACATTAATATCCGATCTAGTGTTAATTTATTTACTGTTGATAAAAGCTAAAGCCTGTTTTTTTCTGATTTTCTAGAACTTACTCAAAAATGAGGATACTGCTGTTTTAATGAAGCTGGTCTGTATCAATCCTATGACTAAGTGACTGTTTATAATAACCTACTCGAGATGAATCTAGACTCTAATCACAATCTTATCAGATTTCCAAAAAAAAAAATAAAATTCTTCTCATCACACGTGCTGAGCCTTTAACAAAATCTAAAACAGAACAATGAATCCTAAACATTCACAACTTCTGTCTTTCCATATGTTTTCCTGCAAAAATTATCATTCTTCTACGCATTTGCATTAATTAACAGTCAAGTTTCATCCTCTCTTGACAATAATTAAATGCTTGAAAAACCTTCATCCTTAATGTCTTATGAGGATATGAAAGAATAATGCTTAGGACAAAATTGTTAAGATATTTTGCTAGAAGTCTGCACAACATGAAACACATAAAGAGAAAATAAAACTTTTCCATACATAAAATTACATTATGAGAATGTAGGCGTTAATTTGTATTATACAAAACCATGAAGTATGACGTCCTTACTCGAATGATATAAAACAGTAAAGAATATAATGATGGATTGTAAATAGACGTGATTTACAAAATGTTTTTGACTCTACAAGTGTTTTTACCTTTGTATCGCTTGAGGCGACATGTCTCCCAATTACTGACATATCCCTCTTGTTTCTAAAAATAAATGAAGGAAATTGAGTCACAGACACAAAAGATTCACTTTTTCAATTTCACAAAACTTTAAGAGATTCAAATTAAAGCTTTTCATTTATTTACTGTATAAAGGCGGACAGCTGCATCCATTTTGGGTATTTCCTTCTCATACCTCCTTTCTCAATTTAATTAAGTCTTCATAAGAATGAAAATGTTACGTGTGCTGCAGATGAACATTTTACCCAAGACTCAGGCATGGAGTGAATCAAAAATTCATTAAATTCTCTTTTCATTACATTTTGAGTTTGTTTTAGGCAACAGACGGAAAGCTTGTTATTTTTCGAGTACATTTTGGGTCATGTAACTGCCGTCATATGGCTCGGCAATGTTCTTTTGTTCAAATGATTCTGAAATAAAAATGGCTGTGAATAAAAAATCACATTCAAATGATTACAGAACTACGTAGTTGATACATTAAAAGCCTGCCCACTCATTAATTAATTCGATCCTAGGGATTAATTGCCTAAGGTTTATGAACTACACATGAGTTGGAAAATCAATTTTAGTTTTCAAAATGTTTCAATTTTATGATAAAATTGCGTTTTAATTATTTGGTACGAGTGTCTAGTGACGCAACACTCATCATCAATTTCATCTTGTGTCTTTATATCTCTATTTTTTTCACAATGAATATTAATTGTGTTTAAACATGTGGAACTGACGTAAAATATAATTTCTAATGTATCATCTTCTCATGAGCATACATAAGTAATGGAAATTCTGTCTAATGGAAAAAATAAGGCTTAGTAAAATAACTTTTCAGACTGCTGAAAATTTGTTCAATCTCTCACATCCCACGCAGAATGCAAAAAGTTATTTGAAATTCATTTTTCAAAGTTTTTGCGATTTTTTGCTCTTTAAAATGAAAAGTTATGAGTTGAAAAGTCTGATGAACTGAAAATCTAAATGCTCACACTACATTAAATCCCATTTGTATTGAATTTTTACAATCACAATCACTTTACGTTCAATCCGATAGAATAATTCCACAATTGACCTCAAAATCTAAATCTATATTCATTTTAATGTCACAGTTTAAAGCAAGAGCTTTGTACTTGACCCAAAAAAATTAAACTTTCCAGTTGATTAAAAAAGTTTTCACTGTTAAATCCCTAAAATCTTCTCAATTTACTATTCTCGACCCAAAAGTTTGTCCATAAAATACAACAACACAGGATCAAATATCGCAGCATTAACATAACAATAACTGTATCAAATTGTGCTATTAACTTCGTTCAAGTTCTAAATTGAAACTTTTATTGCCGAATAATTTCTTTAAATAAACATTTAATTAAAAAAGGACGTTATTAATCCACATGAATAGTTCAGTAGGACAATAATAGACACGAGACAACGATATCCTACGACTCATCAATCAACTCATAAACACTTTGCACAATTCTCATTATAGTTTTATGAATGAGGCTGGATTCAATTGTTTCTATTCATGGAAATGAATGCGTCTTTGTCTACGAGGAACTCCATCCCCAACTTGTTATCGTTATGATTTGCTTTTCTGCTATTTATGGCATGTCTTCTTCTTCTATTATTATATCCAACAAAGCTTTCTTTTATTTGCATTGTTCATAGGTTGATGATGGTGATGTTGAAATGGAGAATTATTGTTTTTTGGGAGTTAGCTTGATTTATGTCCTGACTTAAATTTGATTTGAGGATTTTCACTTGTCCTTTGACTTCAAATCAACTTTAAGTTGTTAAATAGATCATTAAAAGTTTGTATAAATAAAGATCAACAAGAAAAATCAACCCTAATCCTCCTTCCACTTTTACTTAAAGCACAAAAAGTTCCACTTTATTTATAAAAAGTCTTCTTTTCTCCTTTTTATCATACCGTCAAAATGTTCAATTATTTACTAGGTTCATAATGGAAATATTGAACGATGAAATAAGGAACAATTTTTTTTTTCAATATTCGAGTGAATCATAAAGTTATGAGCCGATGAATGAGTGATTGTTTATTTAATTTGGCTATAAGTCATGTTTATTGATGGCATGGATCAATAATTACAGAAACAAGAATGAATTTTTTTTAAAACTTTTTTCGTTTTTTTTTAGACAAACTCATCACAATAAGAAGTTCTGACACAATCAATATAATCATCTAAAAACCTTTCAACCAAAAACGAGAAAAATGTCATCAGTAAAGGTAGCAGTTCGAGTTCGTCCATTTAACTCGCGGGAAATTAGTCGTGAGGCAAAATGTATAATTGAAATGTCTGGAAACATGACAGCAATCACAAATCCAAAAGTACCTCCCGGTACAGCTGATTCTGTGAAACGATTCAATTTCGATTACTCATATTTTTCGCATGACGTAAGTTTGCTGATATTTTAAATGACACGTATCATAAATAATATAAATTTTCTTTAAAGACATCTGATCCTGAATTTGCGACGCAAGAAATGGTCTATTCTGATATTGGAGAAGAAATGCTTCATCATTCGTTTGATGGATACAATGTTTGCATATTTGCTTATGGACAGACTGGTGCTGGAAAGTAAGTATGAAGCAACCTGATGCACAACTCTTATTGATTTGATTTAAATGCAGCATTCAAACTTTAATGACTAATCTTTAAATTCTAGATCATACACAATGATGGGAAAGCAAGAAGCAGGCCAAGAGGGTATCATTCCAATGATATGTGATGATCTTTTCAAAAAAATCCACTCAACGGAAAGCGATTCATTAAAATATTCAGTCGAAGTATCATATATGGAGATTTATTGTGAACGCGTACGCGACTTGTTGAATCCAAAAAATAAAGGAAATTTGCGTGTACGAGAGCATCCATTGTTGGGTCCGTATGTAGAAGATTTATCAAAATTAGCTGTTACTTCATACCAAGATATTCATTATTTAATTGATGAGGGTAATAAAGCAAGAACTGTAGCAGCAACAAATATGAATGAGACGAGTTCTAGATCTCATGCTGTCTTTACGATATTCTTCACGCAACAGAAACACGATGATACAACTAACTTAGTAGCTGAAAAAGTATCAAAAATTAGTCTTGTCGATTTGGCAGGAAGTGAACGAGCTGACAGTACAGGTGCAAAAGGCACGAGACTCAAGGAAGGTGCAAACATTAATAAATCATTGACTACATTAGGAAAAGTTATATCTGGATTAGCAGAACTTGTAAGTTTCTTTTGGCAAAAATTTTTATCATTAATTATTCACAAATTTTCTCTCTTATTCCTTTTTAGTCTGCTTCAAAAAATAAGAAGAACAAGAAAGCTGACTTTATTCCCTATCGTGACTCTGTTCTCACTTGGCTCTTACGTGAGAATCTTGGCGGAAATTCAAAAACAGCTATGATTGCTGCAATTTCACCGGCTGATATTAATTATGATGAGACATTAAGTACCCTTAGGTGAGTTGAAGAAATTTCTCGATGGAGGGTCACTCGAGACAAGTTCTCATGAAATGTTTTTGTTGTTTCAACCTTTTCTACCTTTTTAACCCCACAAAGTGCTTCCAAAATAAATTCATAATTCAAGTTGAATTAAATGTTAACAAAAACACTTGTGAATTCGAGAGCATTTAACAAATTGGACTTGAACTTTAAATATCAAATTTTGTTCATGCATGAAATTTTCATGAGTTGCTCCTTGTGGCTTGATTTGAATGGTCCATTTGAGGATTCAATGGTTATTTCAACACAAGTCATGTAATGATGAATATCTGATAAATGAAAATCTATGACTCAAGAAAATTAATTTGGGTCAGAGTAGAAACTTTTCGGCAACAAGATCTTATCAAATTTTCATTTTTCATGTTTTAGGTATGCGGATCGAGCAAAACAAATTGTTTGTAAAGCTGTTGTTAATGAGGATGCTAATGCTAAACTTATTCGAGAATTGAAAGAAGAAATTCAAAAATTACGTGAATTATTGAAAAATGAGGGAATTGAAGTTCATGAAGGTAAGTTCCGAACTTATTAATAGACAAGATTGCTAGTTTTAAGCATGTGAGGGTTGAAATTGAACTGTGTCATTAATAATAGAAATGTTGGTCATCTGAAAGTCAGAAGCTTTGGCTTGTCTTTTATTTATAGCTATCAGATGATTGCATTTCATATCTCAAGGAAACATTTTTTTAATCAAATTAAGTGTGAATAGAGAAAAATTAAAGAGCATGATCAAAGACTTCCGTCTCATTAACTTCAATTTTGAGGCATGTGTTGGATGTAAGATAGTTGTTAATAGTTTCAAATGTTACAATTTAATGTGCTAAAGTATTGAATTAACTTAGCAAAGCTAGAGAAAGAAAAATTATACATGAAATTACAACAATAATTTGCTCATCTATCAAACATTTCAACCCTCATAAGTTTTTAATTATAAGTTCCATTTTAAATTAGATTAGATAGAATAGAAGTGTTGAGAATCCGTTCTTATCTTTGGCCGAAAAAATTATTTCAATGTTAATCGAATGATGGATGTACAAAATTTAAAATTTTCAGCACTTCCTTACAATGTTGCATTATTATAATCTTCAGGGGGGGGGGGGGGGGGGGGGGGGGGTACAGAGCAAAAATTGAGAGAGCTATGAAAAAAAACCCAAAAATGTTTACTGTGATGAAATTTCCAAGTACTCCACATACGAAATTGAAAAAGTCAAATTTAAAGGAACTGAAGCATCAAAGTAAAAATTTTTGGATGTCAAAAGGTCTTAAATCATGATTCTCATCAGTTCCAATCAAAATTTCGGTCCGAAACTGCATCGGAAGGAAGTATTGCAAAAATTTCATTTTTCGACAATTTTTTTTCCAATGCAAAGTTGAGTACTTGGAAATTTCATCACAGTTAACATTTTTTTTGCTCTGTCACCCCCCCCCCCCCCCCCTGATAATCTTACAAAATTGTTGAAAAATGTCACAAATTAGTGAAATTAGAGACGAAATTAATTTTAATGAGACTTGAAGCAATCAGGGATTAATTTTAGTTATAATGATGATACAGCAGGGATATAATTACAAAATACATTAAAGAATGAATTCATCACGATTATTATCCTTAAACTAAGATCCATAGAACTAACATGAGGTGTTCATGTGCAAAATAATTCCATATTCAGCTTAAAATCATAACAAAACTATTGACGTCATATCCATTTGTTTACTATGTCTGTTAAAAAGCACAACGATGAGTTTTTATGGATTATTAAATCTAATAAACTTTTCCTTATAATTACGTCTTAATGTGTGCGGAAGATATAATATTAGTCACGCTTTTGATGTGCCATATGAGACTATGGAAAATGAGAAACTGAAACTCATTAAACTTTTTGATGCTTGACAGCTTTACAAAATCCCATTTCTCATATCTGAAAATGTCAAATCTAATATTTTAAATGACATAAGCTTTTATGGTTTTAATATTCGTCTCAAGATTAAGGAACAGAGTTGGCAATGGATGTTGACTGGAGTACTTTTTGTGCTATGATCCTTGGGACACCTTAATGTCATTTCATATTTATTTTCTAAATGATTTACTGCTATTAGGTCATGCAGAAACTCCAAATCAATTCCAACTCAGAGTTTAAATAAATGTAAAATGAAATTTTTGTGACATTTTTCATCGCCTTTCATTCTTAAATAACATATTTGAAAAAATTTCTCAACAAAAACCAAAAACCGTCTGCTTTTAAATAAAAAAAAATCATAAAGGACCTGACGGAAAAATAATTTGTGAAAAGCGAGATTCCAACAGTAAGTAATTTCGTAAGATACTCAACACTGTGTGCTATTCATTATTCACAGAACAAGGCATATGGTGTTGATTAACTGATTACTCTATTTTCTCGTCTATAATGAATGTAATTTGAGTTAAAAAGCACACATTTTCTTTGCTACTTACTCGCTTTTTATGTCTCGAGAAAGGAGAAGCAAAATTAAAAATAATTGGCCGAAAATGTCATAATTTTTTCAGTACATTAGTTCTTTATTAGCAATTTTAACGCTTGCATTTTCCCCTTTTTTTTAATGAAAGCTTTTGAATTTTTTTTTAATTTTCTTCCTCTACTTAAATATCATAACACGTCATTAAATTTAATTTCATTTCCCTTTCTCTTTTCTTGCCAACCCTTAACATCATGATGGAAAAAATATAAAAATAAATTGCAAAAAATTCCCAGAAGATGAAGACAAAGGTGCAAACGATGGCAAAGAGATTGTTTTATCGCCTGTCAAAGGACGTACCCGAACGGGTTCAACGACGGAAATGGCAGTTGATCAATTGCAGGCGAGTGAGAAATTGATAGCTGAATTGAATGAGACGTGGGAAGAAAAGTTAAAACGAACTGAACAGATCCGTGTACAACGTGAAGCTATATTTGCGGAAATGGGTGTTGCTGTAAAGGAAGATGGCATAACGGTTGGTGTATTTAGTCCCAAAATGACACCACATTTAGTTAATTTGAATGAGGATCCAACTCTTTCGGAATGTTTACTGTATTACATTAAAGATGGAATTACGAGATTAGGAACGCATGAGGCTAATTTGCCACAGGATATACAATTATCTGGCTCGCATATTTTAAAAGAACATTGCATATTTGAGAATAGGCTTGGAATTGTTACTTTGATACCAGCAAAGGACGCTTTGGTATATTGTAATGGTCGTAAAGTTACAGAGCCCGAAATCCTTTCAACTGGCTCGCGTGTAATTTTAGGAAAAAATCACGTTTTTCGCTTTACACATCCTGAACAAGCTCGAGAGAAACGCGAAAAAGCTGTTGACATTATGCAGGAGTCAAAAAGTGAAGTTGTCGACTGGAATTTCGCACAATGTGAATTATTGGAGAAACAGGGTATTGATTTGAAGAAAGAAATGGAAAAACGTTTGATAATTTTGGAAGAGCAGTTCCGACGTGAAAAACAGCAAGCTGATCAAGAATTTGAGGAGCAAAGAAAGGCAAGAACTTGACATAATTGGCACAGACTCAAAACATATCTAATTATTTTATTATCAATTTTAGACATATGAAGCGAGAATTGATGCTCTTCAAAAACAAGTTGAAGAACAATCAATGACAATGTCAATGTATAGCAGCTACAGTCCTGAAGACTTTCACCAAGAAGATATTTTTGGTGAGGATTGGTTTAATTTCCATTTTATTGCTCATTTTAATCCATTAATGATGCTATTAAATTCTTTACACAAAGCTTTATTTTATGGCATCATTAACAGCTTTACTGTAAGCTAATAGCTGCATTTTCTTTGATGATCTTTACAAAGAATTTAGAAAATAGCTCGTTGATAAAATTAAAGTATTCCAGGGATTTGCTTTTAAATTAGCAACAAAACATTTCAATGCCTCAACCTTAATTAAGAGAAAATTAGCAACGTTCTCTTTTCATTGGTTTTTGGCATTTATTTTTTCAGTATTTTTAGCCTTGAACTTTAAAATTCCTTTTAATTTCATCAAAAGAATATCCCTTGAAGGTTTTTGTCTTTTCTTAATTAATTTTTTGCGATCTTAATCACCTTGAACTTTTGTTTTTAAGTAGCAACAAGAGATGAAACAGTTCATGAAATTTTGTTCTTTTTTTAATAAACGTATCATTTTTGACACAGGATATTACAGCCTTACATAACAGGATGTCAATCCCAACAAGATCTTTTTTTCAATATTTCAAGAGAATTTTTAATATTAATTTTCCTTTTTTCAAAAAGCCTTAAAAATCATTGCATTTGAGCCATTTCCTCGTCTCTTGACGTGTTTAAGATTCATAAAAGCAATAAAAATTATTCCATAAAAAGCTTCCCTTAAGCAGACAATAAATTTTTTTTTTATTTTAAGGCTATATTAAAAGCACATTGAGGCGTTACGACTATAAACATAAAACACAAATTTAAAGCCATTTAGTTTAAGCTCATAGCAGTCATTGTATAGCTGTAAAGCTGCTTTTACATTAATAATGCATAACAATTTGATTCAATTGATAATTTCAGTTAACCCACTTTTCGATGGACAAGCAAATTGGTCAACGCGTCAAGCTGGTTTAGTCGCATGGGCATTCAGAAAATGGCGTTATCATCAGTTTACATCATTACGTGATGATTTGTGGGGAAATGCAATTTTCCTAAAGGAAGCAAATGCCATTTCCGTTGAGTTGAAGAAAAAAGTTCAATTTCAATTTACTTTATTGACTGACACGCTTTATTCACCACTTCCACCTGACTTGCAAACAAATGCATTAATGAATATTAATGATGAAGATTTTACTAGTACAGCAGGTGTTCCTCCACCATCTCGCACAATTGTTGCTGTCGAAGTTACTGACATGAAGAATGGTGCAACACATTATTGGTCGTTAGAGAAATTGCGGTAAGTTGACTTTTCTCTATTTATCGTTTACATTTTGGTAATTCATAGTGATTTTATTAAATGAAAAAGTTAAGTACATTTTTTATTGTTCTTTTGAGACGTGTTCAAAATAAATTTTATATATTGATGGCTTCTAGTTACACTTTCTACGATTGATAAATTATTTGAAAACTTTTATTTAAAGCCAGTGATTAGAGCGCATTTTTGGGAGTTGTTATGTGATTTTAATAAAACTGAAGTTATGATTACATAGAGTTAAACACTCGTGATTGTATTCACAAGATGTACAAAATTATCAGTTAAAGAAGTAATTTCAGATCAAGCTTATTAACTCCATAGAAGTGCGCTAAAGATCACATGCTCAAACATTAATCAGAAAGTCAATTAAAAATTAAATTGAAATTGAAATCAATTAATGATTTTTACCTCACTAGCTTTCCATTCATATAAATATAAATCTCTGTTTCTCTGTCTGTTAATGCCTCTCTCACCAACAACACATTTCTCCTTTCATACTCAATTTTCCAAAAAAATATATTTTCACTGTAATTAATTTATTGAATTTGGTATAGAAACAAAATTAATGGAAAAATTGAAATGACGAAAAATCAAAAAAGAAATTTACAGAAAGGGGCTGTTCACTTATTACGTAACGCGAAAAAATGACTTCTTAGACCCCCCCCCCCTCGTAACAAAATTTGTATGAAAAAAAAATTTCCTTGTTTGAACCGTAACAAAATCTTAGACCCCCCCTCCCCCTAAAAGCGTTACGTAATAAGTGAATGGCCCCAAAGTGAAATGTGAAATCCTCAAAGGCACCTTCATTTATGAGTTCTTTTTCTCTTTTTGAATCTTGTTGAAGTCATTCAAATTAAAAGATTTTATTTTTCTTCTCTTAATGTAGTCGAAAAAATATATTTTTTTTAATTAAAACATGAAATCATTTCAAATCTTAGCTATCGACTTGAATTGATGCGTCAAATCTACAACACTGCTGAGAGTCCAGAAATGACGATATTACAATTGATGGACACAATGGTCCCGTCTGTTGGTAATGTTACTAATAGTATCGATTCAACAGCTGCCAATCATTCTGTTAATCATTTACCACAACCAGTCATTGAATCTACTGGAATTATTGGACAAACAAGCAGTTACAGAAACCCATCAAGACTTTCGTTAGCTAACTTATTGCCTTCTAGGTTAGCATTCTACCCAATTTATACAAAAAACTTAAGCATCATGGGAAAATATAAAAAATATTATTATGATTTATTCAGTATACTTAATTCTTATTATTTTTATTGCATTCTGCAATATGTGAAGTGCATTTTTTATGCTTCTATGCTGAAGAATTTTTGCTAGAATTTATGGCAAAAGTAATTGATGCAAGGTGGATTTTTACAGTAAGTTCTCTATTTGGGGAACATTTTGGAGATATCTAGAGCAATACTAAGGTTGAAGACTTTAGCAACGGCACGACATTAGCTTTTCGCTTTTTAAAAATCTCTTTTTGTAGCTTGTGCCTCTTGAGGTCAGTTCGTTTTTCTATAACACAATATCTGGCACTAGTTCCAAAAGAACTTTATTTTACAAGTGATTATAATTTACAACCGAATGCATTCATTCAGATTCTCGTCCTAGTATCCAACTTTGACTTCAATTTTCAATGGATTCATTACATAGCTTGAAACCTGCTCTAATAAACTGATCACTTACTCTGAATACAAAGAACTTACTGTAAAGAGTATTTTTGAACAATTTTATATTAGTTTAGAATAAAGTGCACTAAGCATTCCTTATACATTTCTGTGTATATCAAAAATGTATAATATTTTTTCATTTTGCATATTATTTCTAACTAGCTATAAAGATTGCAGCGTCCATGTTTAAAAATGTTTTCAATAAATATGCTTAACATTATTATTTTTCTCCATAAAACTTTACTTACACATGAATAAATTCATGCATACGGCAGCTTAATGTTCCTCTAATAAATCCTCATTTATGATTTTTTCACTCCTCACGCCTTTGAGGATAATAAAAGTATTAAAAAATTATCAAAAAAAAATCTCAATGAAGATAAATACTTCACAAATTAACATACATCAGACATAAATGTTTATCATGCACATAAAAATAATTTATAATACAGGCTCGCAGGCTTCATTGCATGTACTTGATGGAAGCTAAAGTTCTCATTTTCATCTTACTTCTACGCTTTTTTCCGCTTCTCATTGATTTTTTTATATCCTTTCTGAATGTTGCTGTAAATTTATGACTGTTGTACGTATTCAATAGCAAATGAAGCATGAAATAATAAAATTTATCATAAATTCATAAATATATAACTTTCTGTGATATTAAGGAAATTCTATAGGAATTAACGCTAATTGTTACAACATATTTTCCTTTCATTCATTTCCGCATATCACAAAACACACGAAAATAAATAAAACCAAAATTAGTCAACGCCTGGAGTTGATGCGTGAGATGTATCATAATGAGGCTGAATTATCGCCAACATCGCCGGACTACAATGTAGAAAGCCTTACTGGGGGCGATCCATTTTATGATCGCTTTCCATGGTTTCGCCTTGTGGGTCGATGTTTCATTTATTTGAGCAATTTGTTATATCCTGTACCGTTGGTACATAAAGTACCCATCGTTAATGAGAGAGGAGATGTCCGCGGGTATATAAGAGTCGCTCTGCAGCCCGTTTTGGTGAGTGATTTTTCTTGAGAATTTCCTTTTTTTCGTCCTTGACCTTCAGACTTAATGTTAGCATTTATTTTTATTTCCTCCTATCTTTCATTTTTTGCAGGATGAAGAGAATTCTGATTTTAGTAATGGAGTTAAACAATCAGCACGAATAGTATTTGATGAAGAAAATACAAGCAACTTACCAAAGATTAAGCTTCGCTCACTTGCAAATGAGAAGGATGAAAAGTATGCAGATGGTGATGGAAATTTGAAAATAGAAGAAGTCGAACAAGAAGATGTCGATTCCGGACGTGGAGATTCGAGTGTAGCATCAGAATTTCACGATAATCAAGAAGAACAGCAAAGTGAACATTTGTTGACTGGAAAAGAATTTACATTCCGTGTGACTGTCTTACAAGCGAGTGGAATTCCAGCTGAATTTTCCGACATCTTTTGTCAATTCAATTTTATGCATCGCCACGAAGAAGCATTCAGCACTGAGCCAATAAAAAATTCAGGTGCACCAATTGGCTTCTATCATGTTCAGAACATTACAGTTCCTGTAACGAAATCATTCATGGAATATTTAAAGACTCAACCAATCATGTTTAAAGTATTTGGTCATTATCAGAATCATCCATTGCACAAGGATTCGAAGCAAGACACAGTCACAAGACCACCACCTAGGCGAATGCTTCCACCAAGCATTCCAATCTCTCAACCAGTTAGAAGTCCCAAATTTGGTCCACTTCCATGTCCAGTATCATCAACTGTTTTGGCAAAGCACGATGTTCTCGTTTGGTTTGAAATTTGCGAACTTGCACCAAATGGAGAATATGTACCATCTGTGGTTGATCATAGTGATGACTTGCCATGTCGTGGATTGTTTTTACTTCATCAAGGAATCCAAAGAAGAATTCGTATAACAATTGTCCATGAACATTCAACTGAACTTAAATGGAAAGAAATTCGTGAATTAGTTGTTGGACGAATTAGAAATTCTCCAGAACCAGCAGATGAGGTTGATGATGAAGATTCGTGTGTACTTTCACTTGGCCTATTTCCTGGTGAATATATTGAAATTCCTGGTGATGACCGAGCATTTTATCGATTTGAAGCTGCTTGGGATTCAAGCTTGCACAATTCAACAATGCTTAATCGAGTATCACAAGCTAATGAGACAGTCTATATTACTTTAAGTGCTTACTTGGAGGTAAATAAAAATTTCTACTTCCTCTCTTTTTTCATTGTAACCATAATTTATCGTGACATTTATGTATCTTTTCTCATACAGCTCGAGAATTGCGCGCGACCAGCAATAATAACAAAAGATTTAAGTATGGTGATTTATGGACGTGACGCACGCATTGGACCCCGATCACTGAAACATCTCTTCTCAGGAAATTATCGTAATCCGGAAGCTAATCGACTGTCTGGCGTTTATGAGCTATCACTAAGACGAGCATCTGAAGCAGGTAGTCCAGGTAGAAGTTCGATTTTAATGGTTGTGCCCTGAATGATAAACATGAATTAATTTATTATGACTTGAAATATTTTATTTCATCAGTTGGATTAGCTTTAATCGCATTTTTGAGAATTGGATCTAGAATGTTTGAGTTCTTCGCCTGGAGTATTTGAACCAAATTAGTTCCAAGAATCTTTTGTAGGAGGTTATGTTGATAAAATGAGCAGCAATAATTTTGAGTAATTTTTCGTGGAACTTAACATTTAAAATGTTAAAAATTTTACATAAATTTCTTGACTTAATTTTTGAAACATTAAGCACAAAATATTGCATAAGTAAAAGGCGTATAGCTGTGGGAAAATTCAAAGTGAAAGATATTTCTAAAACTCGAACTAAATTGGCCATCAATTTTTAAGGTCTAATAATAATGCTTCCAGGATTTCAACATTTTACTTTCCAATTACCTCAAAAATGTGGATTCAACAGACTCGATTCCTTAAAATAATTTTTTTCAAATCAATCAACTTTAATATTTTTTTCTAGAAACACAAAAATAATAAGTAAATGATTTAAAGTAGAATTTTTTAAGTATTGTAAGGGCGCTTCCGTTAATTGCTTTATAAAACCTAAATTTAAAAATTTTAAAAAGATATTACGTAATTTATCTTAGAATAGAGAATTATATTTTGTTGTTCACGTAGCTTTTTGCAGAAAGTTTTTTCTTATTTTCTGTTTTTGTTATCACACAATCGATTAAGCTCAAAGTCCATTAAAGCTAATCTTGCAAAAAAAATATCATTTTCTTCTTGCTTCGTGAATCTCTCATAGGAGTTCAAAGACGTCAACGACGTGTTTTGGATACAAGTTCAACATATGTTAGAGGTGAGGAGAATCTTGATGGCTGGCGTCCACGCGGTGATTCACTCATCTTCGATCATCAATGGGAATTAGAAAAACTAACTCGATTAGAGGAAGTGGGACGTGTAAGACATTTATTGCTTTTACGTGAACGTTTGGGATTAGATACAACACCCAATCCAACCACAAAAACTGAAAAAGATGTTTGTAATTTGGCAGCACGTGCCAATCAATCACCTGTTCATAATATGGTTATTCCACCATCACCACAAACTCCCGTTACAGATCCAATTTTAATGGATCGAGAACATACACAGCGTGAACAGGATTTATTGAAGAGATGTGTAAAATTAATTCAAGGTAGAATTGGAATGATTATTGACGATGAAAAAGAGAAGGAAAATGACATTTCTGCATCACCTGCCGCAGATGATAATTGTCCAGATTTGACTGTTAGCTATGCGTCTGATTTAGTATCGCCTCAAAGCTATGGAGTAGACGTTCCAAATGGCTGGGAACCACCACTTCTTAAGTCTGTTCCACAAGAACAGTCATTACGTCTTTACGTACCAGATTTAGAGGAAATTCGAGTAAGTCCAGTTGTTGCACGAAAAGGTTATTTGAATATACTTGAACATGGATGTGCTGGATGGAAAAAACGATGGGTTGTTGTTCGTCGACCATATGTCTTTATTTATCGATCTGATAAAGATCCTGTTGAACGAGCTGTCATTAATCTCGCAACAGCACAAGTTGAATGTAGTGAGGATCAAGCAGCTATGGTTAGAGTTCCAAATACATTCAGGTATAGCGATTGTTTACCTTTATTTAATTAGATTTATTTGAATAATGAGACTAATTTCATTTAACAACAGCGTTGTCACAAAGCACAGAGGATATTTGCTCCAAACACTCTTTGATAAAGAAGTACACGACTGGCTGTATGCAATAAATCCCCTTCTCGCCGGTCAAATCAGGTTAGACATGAACAATTGAGCGCAATTAATATTTTCATCTAATTAAATTTTTTTCTCTCCCACGTTTCTGAAATTAGATCTCGATCGGCACGTCGAAACATGGTGTCAGCATCATCACAGCAAACAAACATTATGGCAACAGCTCCACAACCAAATGCACAGGTCAAGGATAAATAGGATACGTTAACGATGGAATCTGTGTTAGTTTATTAAATGGTGAGGACTTTTTATCTCTTTTTCTTGTGCTCCGTTCATGAAAGCTGCTTTGAAATGACATTTAAAATAGGATAAATATAAATATTTGTGAATCAAGTGATGGGGCAAATATTAGAGAAATTATTTTGTCATGTGGGAGTGACATGCTTCAGTATTAAAGTTTCTCAGTAGTTGAGTATGCTTGACTGCTTTTTACCACAACCACCAAACATACATATATTAATTAAGTTAATCCAAAAATCACCTAACAAACTAGATGTCTTGTTATCTTCTTAAAGGCAACATATATTAAAGTTAAAATTAATCTCCAGTAATCCTTACATTCGACGAACCTCCTCCTGTGCAAAAATGTGTAAGAATAATGGCAAAAAATCACAGTAAATATTCTTGTATGCCATGATGCTGAACGAAAATCACTGTTGATGCTCACATAAGCTATAATGTTGAAATAAAGTTATAAGCCTACGTTATCTGTACTTTTAGCATCTTGAAATTTAATAATAAAGACGTTCTGTTGTTGAAAATTTGCCATTAAGAAAATTTTAAGGGATTTTTCTGATGCGTGGAGCATATAGCTATAAAGAATACATACCATAAGATATTTAAAGATTTTTCGTCAGCGAATTAAGCACTTGAGGGTTTACCTTAAATACACAAAGTCTCATGCTAATTTTTGTGTATATTCTTAGAATGTAAATTCATCTGTGCAGGAGTAAGTGTATGTAAGAAAAGCAAGCCAAGAAGAAAATTATTAATCAAGTTTTTCAGCATTAACTAGGTTATTCCAAGACATAATGAAACTGTTTGCTTTAAAATTAAAGTCTACAAAAAAATAATTCAGCATGAAGATCATTCAAGTCAAGCAATATGAGCACAATTAAAATATTCTCAAATATCAGCAAACCTTTTTTTTTCTAATGAATATATTAAAATAATCAGAATAGACATTTCGCATTCCTAAGAGGAATCATTTTCATGAATATTACTCGTTCGATGAGGATCCAACCTTTTTTTTACGGTTGCAGAATATTAAGTTTTATTGTTCAGCATCTTTAAATATTGATTACGTGGTGATGACAATATGGTGCAAAAGGTGTCTAAAATTAGATATGTATAGACATTCTTAATTGATTTGGAATTGAGGCTTGAATGTTTTTGAAATTGAGGTTGGAAAATCGCAGAAGTGTGGCGTTTAAATTGATTTTAAAGCTCATAGTTTGTTGTCAATGAATGGGACAGATATGAGTGGAATTCATACTGAGATATCTGAGGTCCATTGCACAACTAAATGAGACAACTCTAGCAGAGCTCAAAGTCGATTCCAACAAACAAAAATCGATGAAAAATTTGAGTCGACTTCGAGCTCTGAACTGTAATCAAAAAATTTATTTCATAGCTTGAAATAAGACCTACATGGACCCTTCAGAAAGAAATTTAAAAGATTCCACAATATTTTAATAAAATTCAAAACTTAAGCTTTCATGGAACAGAAGAAGAGAGAAAAATAGTAAGAATAAATCGAGTGATGTTGCAATAAATTTTCATGATACGAAATGAGAAAAAATAACACATATTTCATCGTTCCAATTCATCTCCTTTTTGTCTTGATTCAAAAAAATGAAGAATATGAAGATTAAAAAATATATTATTATTATTGAGAAAAAAAATATTATTTCTACTTATGAGAATAACATAAAGAATATTAATGGCAAACAAATGAGAAAAAATGAATTTCTAAATGTATTATAAAAAACTATATATTAACATTTTATTCCAATGAAATTGAAATTGAGATAAAAAATGATGAAGCGCCTGAGATAAGTTTAACACAAAAAAAAAATATTTGAAATGAAATTTAAATTTTTTTGCTTACAAAACTGCTTTTGAGGAATTTTTTTCCTTAGTTTTCCATTAAAATGATATAATAATGTGTACAGAAGTTATTTATCTTTCATCTATTCCTATCTATAGATTCATCTTCATCTCAAGCCTTTCCCATTTTCTATATGACGATGCTTTTTATGCGAAGGCAGCTTTTTGCCTTTAAACTTTTTTTTTCGTTCTTATTTTTCTTTACAATTTTACATCTGTAAATAGTTTTAATTATATTTTGTGCTAATTTGCATAAAAGCTTTTTAATAAATTAGAAAAAAATTACTTGACGTGTTGAAACTGATAAGGTATAAAATGATTCATGTGTACAGAAAAAACAAACCTTTAAGCGCATTTCTATGAGTCTTCAGTAGATGAGATCTTCATTGATAATGATTCCCACGAGTGAGAAAGTCTGAAAATAGAAATCTTTCTAAGTAAAGCTCAATAGACTTATTTGTTGTCGAATCATTATGAAAAGAATTCGCGCTGCCCTAGAGAAATCAAGAGACGCTAATGGATTCTTTTTAATTTTGTTTGAATGTTCTCGTGAAAATTTTGCGAACTGAGTTTAAAGATGATGATTTTCCATATGTTGCTGAATTTTTACAGCTTTATTCATAGAAATTTTGGAGTTCGAGATGATAAGAGTCAAATCCACAATGGAATCGTTTGTCGATCAGTGGCCTAAACTCTGTGTCCAAGTAGAAGTATTTCTAGTCATAATGTCAGATTCATGTAGTCTGCTCTAACCAAACCTTTTGAAGAATCTTACAGAAATGTCTCCTTTTAATTAAAACACATAATTATGAAGGCATCCCAATGTCAAAGAGCTCCATTTATAGCAAAGACCAGAAAATCCTATTTAAATCTAAGAATGTCACCTTGGAATACTTCTGAGGTAAAATCTTTTAAAATTACAAATTTAAATTCCTTAAAATACTCTAGGAAATGCGCTAAAGAACAAAAGATTGTAAAAATGGTAATAAAATAATTAAAATAACAGCGAAATACTACGGCAATGAGATACTTAATGAAAAATATTTGTAAGTAAGTCAAGAGGAAACAAGAAAACTCGGTGATTAGAAAGCTTTTACAGTTTTCTTTCTTTTCACTCATTTAATTGCAAAAAAATTCTCTTATTTTCACTTGAGTAGTGAAGTGTGTGCAAATTTTCAGGAGGAATCTTTCACAAAGTAATTCACGTAATTACTTTTTGTTGTGCTAAGATTCACAAGATGATACAATAGAAGAGGATGAGAGAAAAAGTTGTTGTGGAGAATTGAATGAATGCGTGGGTATATATATACATAAAAGCAACCCTTAGATAACTTTGCAAATTAACAATAAAAGATAATAAAGCATAAAAGGGGTTAAACTTTGAGTATTGGTTGCATTCTTGACCTGCTTTTGTAATAAACAGTTGTAGGTCGTGCAACTTAAACTTTTGTCATTTTCTTTGTTTGTTATGTTAATGAATGCGGCACTTCTAATGGAGAGGAATGCCAACTTAGCGATAGTTTTCAATTTTAATATCCATTTAATCTCGATTCTTCGCGGGAAATATAAAAATCCACAATTCGATTCACTAAATTCTAATGCATGCAATGACATTCATTTAATTCACATCAATGCACTCTAAACTGTGCTTTTAAATAAATTGAGTTAAAGAACTGAATTCGACTGATTATATTCAAATTCTATTGTCAACATTTTGCACTTTTTAAAGCAAATAAAAGTAAAAAAATTGTCAACAAAAAAGAGAGTATGCATACATATTGATCGTAATAAAAATAGTGATTTGACACATTTAGGGAATCTGTATGCAATGTGATTTAAATTCTCTCTTTTTGTGCTGACAGCAGGCTTCTTACCAAAAAAACAAGAATTTTATATTAAGTCTGAAGCATTGAAATTTACCATCAAAAAATATAACGATCATGAAAATGACATCAAAAAGGTTTTAACCCCTTTTAAATCCCCCCCAAAAAAATGTATATCTTTTAATAAATGTAACCTGAGTTTATGAAAAAAGCCATAAAATGTGAATGAACAAAAAAAAGTATGAGAAATTCTAGTTTTTCAACATCAGCAGTATTCGCTACTTCATGCATATGTATGCTTCTTAAAATGCATTTACTAGGAGTTTATTCCTTTTATTTTTAAAAATGAAATTTTCATGAGCATTTTCTACTTATTCATTGAAATTGAAATTGAAAAAAAAGCTACAAGGAGAAGAAATAAAAATTATTTCAATTTAACAAGACAGAGAAAATTATTTTGAGAAACTTAAGCTATCTATAGTTGTTGAATTAATTTATATATTAAAAAAAAAGTATTGAGAAATGTTGCAGAAATTTTTCTAATTTAAAGTTCTTTGAGAGATAATAAAATAACATTCATATTCCATCTCCTCGATCCCCCTTCTCATTTTCATTCGACAAAGAAAAAAATGCATAAAAATAATAATACATGAATAGGTAGATATGAATTCTATAAATAAAACATTTAGAGAGAAACAAATTCTGCTGAAAAATAAATTAAAAATTTTTTTGTTTGTGAAGTTTCTTTTTTTGGAACAAATGACAGGCTATAGTGAGCAAAAACAGTTATTTAGACAGAATTTCATTTGTTTAACGCAAATTGCTGACAAAAAATTGGTAATAAATTCTAGGGGCTATTCACTAATGATGACAATCTAGTCACAAGTTTAAAAATACCTTTTTTGAAAAAAAAACTTCTGATGATTTTTTTCAACCATTCACTAGTTTTTCATATATTCAAATATGTCATAGACAACAGACATTATAAGTGAATGAGCCCACAAAATTTTGAAACTATAGCGTTAATTGAACAATGCAAATCCAAATGGCGTTGATATTTGCCACAAATCTCACAAAATCAGCAAGCTACATAAAAAAGGAATAAATAACGCTCATGTCATGCAAAATCCGTTCAAAACAGCATAAAAATCAACATTTTTTGATTTCACAAGGATCAATGGTCACAAAAAAAATCAAATTAACGCTTATCGACAAAAAATTGCTTAACATTTTCAATCAATCGCTCTATTGATCCCTGAGTATTATTTAATTGTAAGCATGGCAAAAATACAATATCTCCATACTATTAATTAATTACCTAGAAAATTCATTTATTGAAATATGAGTAAATAAATAGCAACAGTCATTCAATGCAGACAGAAAGAAAATACACAAACAGTCATAAATATGTAATTTAATTATAATGTAATATCCCCCAAAAAAGGCTTTAATAAATAAATTAAATGAAAAAAGAGCAAGAACAAAAAATATATTTAAAAAAAATTCGTGGTATGTCTGTTCTTTAAATAAAAGTCTCTTCATTTGATTTTTCAGGTTTGATAAAAGGTTACAATTAATCGCAATTAAGATATTATCAGCAGGACACCATGAATGTTTACTTCATAATATTTCACCGAAAATTCACTAAATTATTCAGTTGAGATGACATTTATTGATGATATTTAGGTTAGAGAATTAGTCGAGCACTGGCGCCGCAAGCATAAACATGTCTCAATCTTATTTGATAACAGATGTTTTGAGAAATGTTAAACTTCTCAAAATTTTGGGAATCACATTCTTCTCAGTTGAGAATGGAAAGTCAGTAACGAGATTGCAAGACGTGCTATACATGCTAACAACAATCGGAATTGGAGCTTTTATTTGCTATTACTCGTTGGCATATAGCAATGATGTGAATTCTGAAGACTCTAAAATTGCTAGTATTGGCAACTTTCTTGTTAATATAGCATCGATTATTATAGTTATACTGTCTGTATTCATAACTTTTCTTTTCCGTCACAAGATCTGGTTTTTGGCACAGAAATTGGATACAATTGAACTAAAGGTTAGTAGATATTTGTGTGAATGTGAGCTTTTATTGATTTTCTCTCTCTCTCTTTCTCTTTTTTTCTGTTGCTGCTATTCGAATATTTTATATGACAACAAATTTCCTCAATTTTTGTCCAATGCTTCCAATTTGCTCGAGTTTTATCTATTTCCTCCAATTTGGCTTTTTGTGAAATTAGAAAATATTTTATTGAATCTTTTTGTGTACTAACTTTTCAATTTCCTCTTTTTTTGAGGTTTATTGGTAACCAAAATTCATAATTTTATTTTTATTGCTCATACCTCCCTAAAATATTTTTTAATTACTTTTGGCAAGGTCTGGTTTATGTGCGGGACTTAATTTATTATTTTATTGACAAAATTAAATTTTTTTGAATCGTAGATTAATGAAGTCTTTACTTAATATTTAGTCTGAAATCACCATGCAGGGTTATAAGTCCAGAATTGTTTGTGATAATATTTAGATTGAGTTTTTTAAGCTTTTAGAATTATTGTGATAATATTTTGAAAATTGAAAACCTTCAAAAATTCAATTTTTGGGGTTTTTGAGCTTTTAGAATTATTGCAATAGTTGTAATAATATTTTAAAAATTAAAAACCTTCAAAAATTTCAATTTTTCGACTTTTTGAATTTTTAGAATTATTGCAATGGTTTTCATAATATTTTGAAAATTGAAAACCTTCAAAAATTTAAATTTTTGGGCTTTTTGAGTTTATAGAATTATTGCAATGGTTGTGATAATATTTTGAAAATTAAAAATCCTTAAAAATTTCAATTTTTGGACTTTTTGAGTTTATAGAATTATTGCAATGGTTGTGATAATATTTTGAAAATTAAAAACCTTCAAAAATTTAAATTTTTGGGCTTTTTGAGTTTATAGAATTATTGCAATGGTTGTGATAATATTTTGATAATTGAAAACCTACAAAAATTTCATATTTTGGGCTTTTTGAGTTTATAGAATTATTGCCATGGTTTTCATAATATTTTGAAAATTGAAAACCTTCAAAAATTTCAATTTTTGGGCTTTTTGAGTTTTTAGAATAATTGGTTGTAATATTTTGAAAATTAAAAAAACTTTTTTTGAAAACTGAAGTGCCTTTTATTTTCTAGGCTCATAATTAAAAATGACGTTTTGAGTTATAATCTATGGATTTCTCTCTGACCTCAGCAACTGAAAAAGAAAACCAAACTAGTCATTAGTTTGGGTTTAAAAGTCAGACATTGGAGATTAAATTAAATTTTCGAGTTTTTAAAAAAGCAGCAACTTTTTCGATATTCTCAAAGGATAAATCCCACGGAACAATGCAACCCACTATATACATTACTGCCCAAAATAATTCAATAATGTGCTTAGAGGCATTTTTAACAATTTGTTTTACGTGGGAAATTCTCATAATTTTTTGAAAGGTCTAATAATTATTTAAATAATTTTTTATGAAAAATTCATCACTTTTTAGAATCATTTCCATTTTTTTTATTCTAAAAATTTTTGCATACCAAAAAGCTTCATCAATATCAAATTTAACGACCATGAAAAAATCATTTAATTCCTCATCAAGATAAATTTTCTTCTTCCTGATCAATATTTTTCCTTCACAGCTTCGCGATGTTGGCTCAAAAATGAACTATAATAAAGTAATGAATATGTACGGCTATGCATGTGTTGGAGTTCTGCTAATCATTACAGCATTAGAGTATCTTTCTTATGTATTACAAGGCTCATTAGTTCAAGTCATTCTAGATCTCTACTCATGCGTTTACTTTTCTATAAATATCAGCATATGTACAATCATTATCCTATCAATAGCGCTGAAGCTCAAACGAGTCAATACGGTTTGTAAGTCGATGCTAATTCACGGTGATTATCAAAATTCAATTATGAAAGTTCACACGACTGAAAGTAATGAAGAGATTGACACAATTGCCAAGATTTATGAGATTTACAGTATCTGCATTGACGTATGTGATCTCACAAATTTATGCTTTATGTTTCAACTCATGTTGGGATACGGCCTCGTATTTTTCTTTACAATCCTGACAAGCTTTTGTATCTACAAGGACTATTCAACTTGTGAATGCTTAACAGGCGATACCACAATTGCCCTTGCTTTTTGTTTGTATTACAATTTCATTTTGATCCTCATCATTTTCATGTGCTACGAGGCGGAAGAAGAGGTAAAGAAATAAATTAATCTTTTTGTAACTTTTCTAGTGAATTTTCTTCGAGAATAGTAAATTGTGTGACATTTTATTGCTGGCTAATTGACAGACTGGCTTGTTGACTGCTTGCTGTTTTACTGAATGTGTTATTTAATAATTAATTGACTGGCTTGGTTTTAAATAGACTGAAAACTTCTTGCACAAAATCAACTTGACCCCCCCCCCCCCCCTTTAGCCCACTGTCTCAACTATCTGAACAAAATACGCTTTAGCCCATCATCAATAGACTCAAAAAGTGACCTTACTGCCAGAATTTCTTCTCCATCTCAAAATTTTCCCTTTCATGTGTTTCATGCTTAAGTAAATTTTTCCACAACTATGATCAAATTTTCTATTAATATCAGGCAGGTACAACTTTAAAATTAGCAAATGAAATGATGAAACAGAGCAAGGACATGAACAAAACATTGATATTGGTTACATTTACCACACTCGTCAAAAAGCGTCCACCCAAATTCACATGTGGACTTTTCGATTTCGATTGGAAACTGGTTTTTGCGGTAAATTTTTCATTTATTTTATCTCATTGCTGCAAAAATAATTTGTTTGTGTGTAGATGCATTTAGGGACATGCAACTAGTGGTAATTAATTTTCATCCAATTTTTATTATTATATCTCCCATTTTACAGAATATTTCTTCAGCTGCTACAAATTTTGTGATTCTCATGCAATTTGATATGGCATCAAAACATTGAGCAACAGCATATGTGTGTTGGTGTTTAATCTCCTTTGATGTTTTTTTCGCAGTGCCATTAACATTTTTCAATGAATTGTTGTGAATTGTTTGTAATTGTTGTAAACTATACAAGCCTATCTGCAGGCTTGTTGAAATATTTCAAAGCTTAGTTTTTCTGGATATTATTCTCATAAATTTGAATTGTTTGGGAATTTTGTATATTTGGTCTTTGTAACTTATTGTCCATAAAATATTTAGATTGACTTTTCAGCATATGAATTTTAATCATTTAGGTTATGTATTGACACACTCCTGATATTTGCAAAAGAATAACGTGTAAATTTATTAAATCATAGCAAGTTTTTCTTGCATTTTTCAGTAGAAAAAAATAAATAAAATAAAATGACTGTAACTTATACTGAGCAAGTGGCAACTGCCAAAGGTTTAACACTTATAAAGTTATTTTTTCGATGGAAAGGATCTGTAATTCGTCTGATTTGGAAGGATTTGCTAGTTTATCTTGCTGCATATTTTATACTTCATTTCATCTACGCATATGCATTTAACGAGACTTTACAATTATATTTTGAGAATATCGTGACTTATGCAAAAAAGTATGACGACATTAAGACACTCTCTTTTGTGTTGGGCTTCTTTGTATCTATTGTAATGACAAGTAAGTATTGCTTGCTTTCAATTAAATGTTTTTACCGACTATTCTTCTTTCGTTAATTACTCTAGGATGGTGGAATCAATTTCTATGCATTCCATGGCCTCATTCTATATCTGTCTACGTATCAAGTACAATACATGGATATGATGAAGTAGGAAGAGCATTGTAAGTTCAATATAATAATTTAAACTCTATTTAATTATACTAAATTAATGTTAAAAATTCAGGAGAAGAACCATTTTAAGATATGTCAATTTGTCACTTGTTATGGTTTTTCGTGTTCTATCTCCACGTGTAAAGAAAAGATTTCCAAGAATGGATGATTTGATTCTTGCTGGTTTGATTAATGAAAATGAGTTGATAATTTTACAGGAGTTGGAACAAAAGTTTCCAGGTAATTTATTGGTAGTAAATTAAAGAATACAGTTTAAGAAGATTGTATATCCTTAGGCTACAGCAAAAATTGGCTACCAATATGCTGGGCTGCCAATGTAGCAACAAGAGCTCGAGCGGATGGTCGAATAAAAGATGATTTCGCATTAAAAACAATAATTGAGGAACTGAATAAATTTCGTGGAAGATGCGGTGAATTGATGAATTACGCAATGATTTGTATTCCACTTGTATATACACAAGTTGTGACAGTTGCAGTTTACACATTTTTCTTAACTGCTTTGATCTCACAACAGCCCATCAAGATCCGAAATGGAGGAACTGAAAATCTATCACTTGGAGAAAATCATCATCTTTCCTTTCTTGACAGCCTTCCATTTATGCTAACCTTACAATTCATATTTTACATGGGATGGTTAAAAGTTGCAGAAACAATGATTAATCCTTTTGGTGAAGATGATGATGACTTTGAAGTTAATTGGATGATTGATAGAAACTTAATCATGAGCTATTTGATTGTTGATGAGATGCACAATGATCATCCGGAACTGCTAAAAGATCAATTTTGGAATGAAATTCCAAAACATTTGCCAGATTTAGGAAGAACAAGCTCAAAAGAAGTAATTCCAGGACATCATCAAAAAGATTTCTTTGATGTGGACCAAAATCCAAGCCAATTTTTACGTCAACGAAGAACGGTTCTAATTCAAGCTGATGAAGAGGAAGAGGAACAACCTCAGGTAGCTTTAACAGTCAATCCTTCAAGAACAGAATTAAAGCCTCGATCATCAGTCATTGATGAGACTTATCGAAGATTAACTGATGTTGAAGTGACACAAAGCTTATTAGACAAAAGTATGCAAAAGATTCGCGATAAGGCAGCAACACCAAAACATGGCAGCGATAGTGAGACAAATAGTTCCGTTATTGACACCACAAAGCTTTCGTAAATAAAGTCTTCAAAAATTTTAAGTGAGCTATTGAAAAAAAATCTATTTTTTGATGGATTTATTTTAAGGCTTGAATCCTGGGCTCTAAAATCACAAACGCGAAAATTCGCACGCAGGAGATACAAATTATATTTTCAATAATCCTGGAAGTTTGTATGTTTTCATTCATAAATTCAAGTTGTGAAGTTTTGCTTTTAGAAATGAAATATACAAACTGGAAGGAATATACAGCTCTCATTTCTCAAATGGAAATGAGAAAAAAAAAATCATTTTCGAAGGAATTTACAGTGACGAGAGTTTCGAAATGAAAGGAAAATTTAGAACATGCTATGAGGATAATTTTTGAGAGAGTGAGAAGCTACAGGGATAAAAATTATCCTAAAAGTTTTCTGATTGAGTAGCAAGCTACTTCTATTGATAATTATCCTAGCTACTTCATTAGGAAGTTTGAATATTTTCTCAACGACTGAAGGCATTTTGCTATAAAATTTTTCAGAACTGAGCATGTGCTCCAAAAATAAATTTTCGACAGTCAAGAAAAATTCAGTATACAGCATGTAGTATGATTAACAACTTTTTAATTTAATTGAATTATAATTTTTGATTAAATTTTAAGCCATTCTAGCTCATTTGCATCCCCAATTCCACCACTATATTAAACAAGCGTTCCTCTACATGTATTCATTAATGCATAGTCGGTGTGCTGTTTGAGAGCTCGGATTTTTGAGTTTGTTTTGATTATTTGTCAAACATTCTAAACCTGGAACGAAATCCGACGATGATAACGATCATTTAATAGCTACTGATAAAACTATATAATTACAGATTCAGTTATAATACTTACTAGTTCGGAGTTTGAAGCTGATTCACTGCAAGAAATTTTAATTTCTTTTAAAAACAACATATTTAAGTTTTGGATCTATGTACAAGAAATTTGGTATCTCTTTAGAAGTGAATGTGATCAACTTTTTTTAATTATCGTGTCTTTGTTCCGCTCGGATATTCAACAATCTATTTATTTGGACAAGATCTAGTGAATATAAATGTTATGAAAAGTTAAGAAAAATGTGATTGACATGTGAAATAAAAGGAATGCGCATACAGATAAGGTGAAGAATTCCTTAAATTATAAATAATAAATCAACAGTCATTTACATCTTCTTTACAATTTCGTAACTGAATTCCATCAAATTTGAATTGTTTTTGTTGATTATGAAAATAAATATTGATATGTGCGGTAGGTTTAGGGAGAGACTATGGCAAAAAGATGCGAACATTTTGTATCTATAATAGAAGAAGAGAACTTTCAGTTGGAAATAACAATGATTAATGTAAGATTTAAAAGTAGTCAATTCATGAAAACAATTGTGAATTGATAGATTTATTTGATCTAATTGTCAAGTCAAAGTGACATTCAACATAAAACGAATTTCTATGTCTTCCTTAAAAATGATAGATTTAAAAGACTTCGCCGAAATATTCCATGAAATTAATAAATATTTTAAAATTATATATCAAATTTCAACAAATCTACAAAAATCATCTCAAAAATCCAGCAATTAAACTTCTTTGAACTTTCCAGGTTAAAATCACCAAACTCAAAAATAAGATGCAAAAGAAGCCAAAACAAAACAGAAAAGAGAGTAGAATTTTATTCTAGCGACACTCTCTGCCGCTCTCAAATATTTTTTTGTTATGTTACAAGACATTAAAAAAAAAGTTGATCAGTTTACAAACATCATACAGCCGAACAAGATGCATTACTCCATTTTTCTATTTATTTTTGTGTAACTTTTTCAGTTTAAAATTAAAACAAAAAATTTTTTTTTATTTATTATTTAATTTGTTTTAAGTGCCAAAGATTTTTATTTTAAATTTAACTTATTTTTTTTTTATAATGCTCAGTGTTATTAAACAAGAATTGTAAGTTGATCAACAGTCACTCTCGTGTAAAAAACACCTTAAAAATAAGAATAAGATAGACTTTGTCTCATGGATATGATAATTTTTGTTATAAAAGAGAAATTGTGCATAACTACGCACATAGTTCTGTGGGTGGAATAGCATACAGCATAGAAAAAAAAACAAGACATCGAGGAAAAAAAATAATAACATGCATATATCTTATGCTCTTTTTCTGCTTACAATCACGAATATCTTGTGTTGTTTTTTGTGTAACATATAAAACTGGATCAAAGTTCTACACTCGAAAAAGAATTTTACTTTATTTCATCATCAATTTTTTTTGTTTTTCGTTCAAGATAATCATGATGATCTTCATCTTTAATTTGTAGAGATTTCTTTCCCATCTTCTTCGTCGTTGTCGTTCATCAATTTTTTTTTTGTTTCAAGTGAATTTCATTCATATTCTAAGTGCTTTATTATTGTATATTCAGTCACGTAGCTAGGGCTTTTAGTGTCTATAGTTAAATTTATATATACTTGCTCCTTTCCCCCTCTTGCTTCGTTCCTGAAGTGTATAAGAACAAAAAGAAAAAAATATTACGACTCTTATAAGAATCGTAATAATTCTACGATTGTAATTAATGATTAATGTTTCCAAATGTACTATGACGACGACGACGACTGACTTATAATATTGTATCTACACACATATATTCAGCTAAATGAGCCATCTGCGGGCTATTGAAATTAATAGTATGTGCTCAATGAATAGTTCTATAGATTTTCATAAATGGCTTAAATGTTCTCAAAAACCATTCTTTTCAATATGAAATAGAAAAGAAATTAGTAGGAAAGTTGTTGACTCGTGGGCGAAATTGCGGAAGCGCATTTTGTGTATCAACAAATTTTATGGCTGGTCATTAAATATTTGCTCAGACTGGAGCGATTAATAAAAATGTTTGTGATGATTGTTGGATTTTTAATTGAGCTGTGGCACGCGAAATAAAACTTTACGAACCACATTCGTCTTGCAAATTCTCAAGGGAAGTGATTGATAAAGTTTCTCTGGATGTCCTTGAAAACAGATAGATAAATATTTTATCAAAAAAAAACGTGGAAGAAATTTTGTTGTTATAATATAACATGTGTTTGGTGATAAAAGTAATTGAGTTTTATCAATGTTGAATTAAATATGTTAGGATTATATCAAAAGCAGTTATTTAAATGTCAGTCTGAGTTTGTTATTATTTATATTGAACCTTGGCTAATCATTTTTTGTATGTTCAGAGATTTTATGAAATGTAAACGACTTAAAATTTCCTCTCAATGACTGTTGAATACGAATAAAAACCATTTAAATGCAACAGACACTAAAGTTGAACCGATATGTTCATAATGAATGAATTCTTCTTATAGATTGAGTACCTTAAGCATTTAACGACTTGACCACTTGAGTCACTAGGATATATAAATGTAGCATTCTGCTTATGCGAACATACCCACAAAGCATGGCAGTTTAAATTCTCAAATAAAATCTCTCATATAGTCTTTCATCTAGTAACATTAAGAACAACAACTACAAATAATCAAAACAAATTAACAAACCACAGCTGACAATCTGACAAACCATCGCCCCATCCCACAATCTTTACCATTCTCAGCTGATAAAATTTTCAATTTCTAATGCTCACTTATTCATAGTTCTAAACAAAGTTAAGGAGGAGGGGAAAGAGAAAGAAAAGAAAAGATATGAATGAACACACAGTGCAGAATACAATTAGTTTCAAATATTTACTCTTATTTGTTATTATATTACTGATAGTCCGGAACAGAAATAACAAGCCACCCTGAATGACTCAAATAAAAGACACATTGTATGTCTTTCATTCCGGGTTGTGACTCTATAAATAGAGTCATATAAAAATAACAATAACAAAGAAACGAGGGTGAAAATGTCAAATGTAAAAAGATGACCAAAATAAAAAACAGAGTCATTTGCAGTCAATCATGAAACATGCTACCGCTGACAATTATTCACATTTAATCGAATAATAAAGGTGTGTTCCATATTGCCCATCTGAAAAAAAGTATATACGTGAAAAGCGGCAATCATTGTTGTAAATTTTTAGTGATGGGAAAAAGTCGAAAGGTCATCAAAATTTGAATTGCTATGAAACGCATTTTCGGTGTGTCTAATCGTTGTGAAATTAAGTAAATAGTAGAGAAACGATGAAGCAACGGAAGCTAAATGGTAAAGTAAAGTAATGGATTTTTTTCGGTCATTTTAATTTTGGGAGCTTGAAAAATTTTTCAATGGGTCACTTACTGAGTGCTATGGTCATTAAGCATATATTATTCAGTTTCAAGTTGCCATTTAAAGATTAGGAAATGTGACTCATATTGGATACTGTCAAGCATGTTTTAAGTACTTCAAGTAATAATTCTGTAAGTATTAAAAAGTGAGAATTTACGATGATAAGCCAATGGTTCTACTTGACTGACATAAAAGTCGTCATTAAGAATATCTTAGTGTTTTTTTGACACCTGATAACCTCGCAACTTCCTGGAATTTTCATTATCACAAGTAAATTGTTTTTTCGGTCATGACACTTCGTTCTAAGTTACATAAATTTATAAAATAATTTCCCTTTCAAAAAGGTCAAAAGGTTCGGATTCTAGTAGGAATGGAACCTATAAATCTTCAATATACAAACTTACTGAATCATCCCTTAATGTATATCATAAAGCCTTCTGTAAATTTTCAACAAAATAACCATCTGACTGCAACATAATAGTCACTTCCAAAAAATATGTTGCTTCCCTCAAATTTGCACGACATAAATCAACTAAATTTAATTGTTGAACATTCTAAAACATATGTCATGTCAACAAAAGAACATCAGTAGCAATTTATAGCTTGTTTGTTTTTCAAAGAATCAAATAATTTCCAACTTTCAGTCAGAAAACGTTTCAGTCATTTGAAATTCCCAAAAGAATTCGCCAGAACTGCTGTCATTAATCGTAATCTTACTGACCAAAACGAGAACAATAATCCATTCCAATAGCCATATAGTTTTATTCGAGTAAATGAAATATGATTCCATTCATCCACCTAATAAGTTCACAATGGAGTCAAGAAAAAAAATAATTCGACTGTCAGATATTTCCAAACTTAAATAGCAGAAGTCAATAAAAATGCT